GACTAAGCGAAAGGGGGACTACTCGTAGTCTAGCTTAGTTGAAGAGCGACACTTCTGATAACAGAATTGAAAATATATGAGAAATAGTTTTTGCCTGCTTCGTGGTTTGAAACATTTTAAATTCCCAAGTTACTTCCCGTCTAATTTAGGTCTTATATTCCTGAAGTTTGTTTCGAAGCTTCGGACTCCATGAAAACTAAAAATTTCGGTTGGGTTTTACATATTTTCAAAAGTTTCATTTTACGAAGCCACTTGTCACTATTTGATACTGACGTACTGAAAGCTCTCGGCGGTAGGTACGAAATCAAAGTCTGATTTATACTAGCACATGGGCAATGCTGACCTTACATCCTATCCAGTTGATAAGCTTCAGCAGTCGTGTGCTCGGTTCGGTTTTGTTCAGCGAATTTTCGGAACACTACAGCTCGCGGAAGGCTCTCCAAAACGCCATTCAACACAGACTTTTATATCCGCGTTCACTGCAATGCAAACGGCGAACAGTTAGGGGCACGTGACCAGAGCCAGACGTTACGTTTGAGGTTTTCGACTCGCGTTTTCAACGTCAAGAGGTAGGTTTCCGCGAAAGTCATTGACCTCAGACTTTATTGCCTTAAATTTTATTTCATTCCACATAAAATCACTAAAACCGAAAAAAGTAACCCTTTTTGTACAAATTGGTTATAATTTTTCTGGAAACAGGCAGTTACCTAGCCTTTTGTTTAACTTGTTTTCAAGCTGATCGGGGCCATAATGTGGCCTTCAACCCGATAAAGACGAGAATCTAGCATTTTTCCTAATTTGGGATCTATGTTTGCTTGAATTTGGCGGACTATTAAAATATATTTAACTGGAGAATACGGTAACACGTATAACGGACCTCTGTCTGTTGATTCCAATGCGGAGTACTTTCTCTCATTCTGATATAAAGTTTTACCTTTAATACGGGTTCTTTTATCATGTATTCTACTTCGCTTTTTCCGCCAGAAATTAACCATTTTTCTTCTTACGCGACCCCCCTAACCTATTACACGACACTGTGACAGTTATGCCAAAAAAACTTCAATCGGATTGATTCGGTCTAGTGACAACAACAACAACAACAAAAACAACAACAACAACAATCTTCATTTGTACTCTCAAGCAAACAATCTCCGCGCTTTCCGATTCGACTTTTCTGGCGATAAGCTGTTTAGCATCGTGGTCGAGTTTTACGTAGAACCGTCTTATATGTAATTCTTGTTTCACTTTTCTTCCCTTCTCTTCAGATCCAAGTGGTTATGGTTCCACTTCCAATGCGTTCATATTTTCACTCCGCAACAAAGAAGGTCTTGAGCCATTTAAGAGCATGGTGACGAATCCATCACGTGCAATTTTCAGGTACTCAAGTTATGGTCCAACATTTGGTTATGGGCATGACATCTACATTGCTAACAATGCCAACAGTAACACTTATTCATACACAGATTTTGGTGTAAACAACGACTACTCTGTTCCAAGTGGAGTACAAAACAAGTACACAATCCTGGCTGGGTCTCGTAAGTTCACACCCGAAGAGGTGGAGGTGTTTTATCTTGGCTGAAGCTACGTCATCTAATGATCAGTTCTTTAAGAAATGTCTCTCAGAAGTCTCCTTGTTACTTTTTCATGCGAATTATGTTCCTATCATTCAATTTGAGAACATGTCTACCATACTATGGGTATTGCTGTGTGCCAGCAGAACTAGTCAAGAACAAGAACTAGAAGACTCCTGCTAGCCACTGTTTTATTCGTTTAGTAATCAGAGTTAAAGGGTCAGTCTCCGATCTTGATTCAGCGATTATCGAAAATCTCTTTCCCAAGTTTAATATTACATAACCAAATGTCAAATAAATTAGACAAGCAGTGGATTCTACAGAGTATAAAACACAACAAGTATTTGAGAAAGAAATCCAGCATTGCAAGGGTGGCTGTGGTAAGAGTTTGAGAAATTTGATTTTTTTAGAATGTGAAGAAATTAAACTGCGATTCTAATACAATTTTGAATCTTTGTAG